GTAGTGATACTGCCTCAGAAACCCAAGGAGGGGTCACTATGAGTCGGGGCCGACTCGATGGCAAATAACAACAACAACAGCATATATATATATACACACACAAATATAATACACATGCGTGTGTACACACACACACACCACCTCCCTGGGTGGTGTGAGCAGTTAACCCAGTCAGCTGCTAAGTGAAAGATTAGAGGTTGGAGTCCACCCAGAGGGGACTTACAAGGAAGGCCTAGTGATCTACTCCTAAAAAGTCAGCCACTGAAAACTCTATGGAACATCCGTCTCCTCTGACACATATGAGGTCATCATGAGTCTGAGTCAAGTTTATGGCAACTGGGGAAAAAAAAAAAGAAGTATGTATACGTAGGAACCTTAGTGGTGCAATGGTGAAACACATGGCAGCTGAACAAAACCTCGGTGGTTTGAGTCTACCCAGCACCTCCATGAGAGGAAGACCTAGTGATTGGCTTCGGTGAAGATTACAGCCAAGAAAACCCAATGGAGCAGTTCTATTCGGTCACCCAGGGTCACTATGAGTCAAGAATCAACTTGACAACACCCCACAACAACATATATATATACATAGACACACAAACATATACACAAACACACAGACACACACACATACACACAGCCATTTCCTCATACCAATATACATCTATACAGATGTATGTAAATGGGGAGTCCAGCCTCCTGGGCCCTTTGATCTTCAGCAGACCAAGCAGGACAATGCTGCACCCTCACTTCCTCCTTCAGGATGGTGCCAGATTCTACAGGTTAAGCCCCAGGGGATTATGGAGTCTTCACAGGGTGTCAGAAGTGTGGGAAGTGAAAAAAACAAAACCCAAGAATGAACAGTCACTGTCACATCAGTTCGGACTTGTGGCGACCACGAGAACTATGTTCTCAGTATAGTTTTCAATGACTGTGACCTTGCAGGAGATTGCCAGGTTTTTCTGCAGAGGCACTCTGGTTGGGCTTGAATTGTTAGTCCAAGTATTGTCCAGTGACTCAGAGGGCAGTGAAGAAGGACTGGATGAAGAACCCCTGTTGGGTAAGTCCTGCCTGCACATGAATGGGAAAGGAAAGGACCCCTCCAAGCAATAAGGAGAAGTAGGACTTCTGGGGGGATATCTTTGGAAGTTCCTTCTTATCAAAACAACTGCTTTTTTTGAGAAAAGTTTTAAAGGGGAAGAGACAGAGGAGAGGTGGGGAGGCCTGAGGACTGTGAAGTCATTTAAGAAGAAGGAGGGGGACAGAAGGTGAGGTGGTGTGGAACAGAGACCTATCTGCCCCACCACCAAGGAGGGAAGGGTACCACTGTCCAGCTCAGGCTTAGGTTAGCATCTCTTGCACAGTGGTGCCTGAGGGTAGCCAGACTCACCTGTGAGTCCCAACAGCAGAAGTAGCAGCAAGGAAGGCAGAGGCAGTTGAGTCTGGGAGGCAGGGATGGGCATTGTCGTGGTCCCTGGAGCTTGCTCTGTGCTGGTGTTATCCTGGGGAGACCCTGGACACTGCTCTGTGGAGGGAGATACAGCCTTTTCTCCTGTGATGTCAGAGGAAGTGACAGTAATGGGAGGAAAGAGCTGTGGGATTCTGGTGGTTCCTGCTTCTAGATTGTGAAATAAGAACAAGACACAGTCTAAGAAGTTACTGAGAGAAGGGTGTGTCAAGGAGAGGTCCTGGACAACTCCTTCAGTGCCCAGGCTCTGTCTCCTGGGCCCTACATGCTATCTCAGGGGCTCTGATGGTCCTTCCTCATCCAGAAGCCCTGAGAACATGGTCTGGGTGAAGTCCTCTACCCAAGAACCTCGCCATGGTGGAGGGTGTGTTCGGTCTCCTGTACCAGGCCAACATCTGAGCTCAGATGAGCTGCACAGCTGGAGTCAGGAGAAGAGCCCCACAGGACCAGCACTGCATTTAATGAAGGTCTCAGGGGATGGGGGCCCTACTTCATCCCCTACTCCAGTAGTGTCAGTGGTTACAATGGCCTGAGTCAGTGTCCAATTGGGGCCCTTGGATTTGCAACCAATCCCTGTCTACAGTACAGGGAGCTCCTCCTTTCTCCTTCTTAAAGGGGAAGTAGGTTAGCTGACCAAGAAGTAAGGCCCTGTGAAGGGGTTGTGGTTTCTGCTTTAAAGGATGGAGGAAGCCTGTAGGGGAGGGAAGGAGGGACCTTGAGGTGATCACCTTGTAGGGTAAACAACACACATAGAACACAGTTAGGAGGAAGGGTGCCTCTCTATCTGCTCCCCTAGTTGGTGGCCAGCTCTAGGGAGACTGGGCAACAGGAGAAGTGCCCATACCAAGATGTGCCTCCTCTTTCCACTTCTGAACAATAATGTCCAGCACACACTATGCTGTCCAGACCCTCTCAGCCCTGAGCTCTTCACTTCTGTGGACCCAACGCCAGGCACTGCTGTCTGTGACTTAGTTTCCTCTGCTCCTGGCCCCTGCTCCCTTCTTAGAGGCTGACTGTATGTTTATGATGAGAAAGACAAAACCAAAGAGGACGTTTTCCTCTTTCCTTGAGACCTTGTTCTAGTTTCTTTCTTTCTCTTTTTCCCTTCTGAATGAGGTTCCCTGCAGGGGCCTAACAAAGAGCTGACTGAGTGTTCCCTGTAGCATCCATCATCCCAACCCCAATCCCTCTTTTAAGGGTGACAGATTGTAATTTCCAGAGGTGATCACAATGATACTCCTATGCCACATGCCCTTGAACATTCCTTCCACACAGGGATGGGTGTATGCTTTCTCCTCCTGAATCTAGATTGGCTATGACTATGCCTGAAGTGATGCTCTGTGACTCATTAGGCTAGACCATATTGATTATTTGGACCTGCACCTTGCTTTTTTGGAATGCTCATTTTTGGAATCTAGCCACCACACAATGAGGAACCCAAACTTGCCCACACAGAGAGGCTACATAGCAAAGAAACACATAAGAGTTCTAGCCCAAGGTCAGCTAATGTGCCAGCAATAGCCAGAACCCATTGGCATATAAATAGAGAGGCTTCCAGAGGATTCTAGCCATTGGCAATCAAGTCACCCTCAGCTGAATCTTCCCAGCCAAGGTCCCAGACAATGTATAATGGAGACAAGCCAATCTTGTTTTGCCCTGTCTGAATTCCCAGCTCACACTATCAGTGATCATAATAATCATAATAAAATGTCCATTTTGGTCCCTATACAGATGCAGAAAATAAACATGAGCTTGAAGAGTTGGTACTTGGACAAGAGGGAGATCAGTGGAATGCATGAGAACTTAGATGTGAAGATGAAATTCAGGTCCTTTTGTCCTCCCTTCTAAGGAGGTGGGATGAGCTCCTGGTTCTCCTGTTGGGTTGCTCTGGGCCTTGTCTCTGAGCCCTCACCCTGTGGTGTGAAGAGGAGGGTGGGAAGCAGACAGTCACAAAGGGAGGCTTATAAAACTCCCTGCGCTGTATTTCTCCTTCCTGCAGCTAAGCTTCCTGGGACGGAAGGCTGCAGCAGAGACTGAAGTTCACACAGCCCAGGGAAGGGAGTTGCTGTGGGGAAGCATTTCCATCCCTCCACTCACTCACTCAATGCTTGTTTCCCGAATGTCTGCAAATGCATTCAACATGGGGTGGGGGCAGAAGGAATGAATGACTGCAGAAACAATCAGCTCTGTGAGGACAGACATGACCTTCTCCTAGACTTAATCCCCTCTACTGACTCTTGGACAATTTTTCAAATCCTTGATCAAACCCATTACTATACCTGAGGTAGATTTTCTTAGAGGATGTCAGGAGACTTATGAAGTAAGATCCATGGGTAGTGCAAATGGTTTCTACTCAGCTACCAACTGAAAGGTTGGTGGTTTGCAGCCACCCACTAGTGCCACAGAAGAGAGGCCTGGTGATTTTCTTCCATAATGATTACAACCAAGAAAACCCTATGAAGCACTTCTACTTTGTAACACATGGGATTGCCATGAGTTGGAATCCCCTCAAAGGTAACTTTCATTTATTTATTTTTGGGGAAGTAGGCGCATGTGTCCCTCTCTGACCTCCAAAGGAAACTTGGCACCATGTGGCCTTGTGGGCCCTCCTTGAACTGATGTTTCCAAACTTTAGTCTGCTCCCAGGCCAAGATGTGGCCATCACTTCACCCTACCTCCTTGAGGCCTGAGCCTTCCTTCAACTTGAACTCAATCCTTCCACTTCCTGCAGAATGGAGAGTTGAGAACTTTATTACCAGTAGCACTTGTGGCCTAGGAGAAGGGCCTCAAAGAGAAGGGTGGGCAAGAAGAACCATCAGAGGGCTCATGGGAGCCCATCTGTTCTGTTACCTAGTGCTGCTCTGACAGGAATATACCACAAATGGGATGACCTTAACAAACAGGAGTTTATTCTTACAGTTTGGAGGCTTTAAGTCCAAGTTCAAAGTGCCAGGCTCTAGGGGCTAGGTGAAAGCCCCTCAATCTTGAGCTTCAGCTCTGCCTCCAATTCCCAGCCCACTGGAGCTGGAGGCTTTTCTTCACTCAGACAGCTGCTGGCTGCTGAGGCTGACAAGCCCAAGTTTGATAAGTAATAAGGCACAGTCTCATTATTACCAAACCACATGACAGGCCATTAATTCAAGTCCATTAAAAGCCCCAAGATTGGCAGAGCATGGCAGGCTGCTGAATAACAACATGGCTACATGCAGGGTTTAAGTGTGCCATAAGCTAGAGACTGTTCCCCAAGCCTTCTCCTTATATACAGGAAGCAGACCACATACATCCCTAAGGCAGCTAGCTACTCAGCTGCTTGTGGTAGATCCCACCATGGAGATGATTGCCAGTCTCATCATGGGGAATAACTACCACCAGCTGCTCACCCACTCAACCGGGCCCAACCAAGTTGACATACAACTTTAACTACCACACTATCCTACAGAGTCTACACTTTCCTCACCTGAGGCCACAAGGGCACATTAGTGTCAGCTGTTCCCGCTGCTCTGGGCCTGCCCTGGCACAGTAGCCTGAGACAGGAGCCCAGGTAAACACTCACCTGCATCTCATGCTGCTGGCTTGGGCCTCATTTTAAAAAGGAGGAGCAGCCTCGATCATTTGATTTTCTTCCATTATTTACTTTACTCCTCAGCATGGTCATATGAGATGGGTATTATTACCTCCATTTCGGTAAGAAAATTGAAGTTCAGAGATCTTAGGGTCTTTCCAGGGTCACAAGGTAGTTAAGAGTCAAACCCACATCTGTCAAATGCTATGCTTATCCTTGTTGCCCCTCTAGATCAAGAAAGAACAGGTACTCAGGACACCCAGGGACCCCTCTGGGGACTAGGAGAACAATGACACATCAGGGCACAGAAGTTATATGTAGTGTAGTGGTAAGTGGAGTATTGATATAATCCCGTGGGGAGAGATTCACTGTTTCCCTGCCAGCACCAGGACATGGGCTCAATCAGGAATCGAGGAAAGATTCAAAAACTGCCTGGTAAGAAACAATTAAGGTCATTCAGGGAATCGCGGATCGCTGGCCTGGCAGGAGTCTCAAGCATGATCTAGTCCCCCTGTCTCCACTATCTGAACCACTTTGAGAATGGATGAGACCTGAAGAGGATGTACCAAACAACAAAACAAACTCACTGCCGTTGAATTGATTCCAACTCATAGCAATACCCATTGGGTTTCCAAGGCTAAATCTTCATGGAAGCAGACTACCTCATCTTCCACAGAGCAGCTGGTGGGTTTGAACCACTGACCTTTTGGTAAGCAGCCAAATGCCTTAACCACTATACCACCAGAGCTCCTTGAAGAGGATGTGGAACAGATTAAGAAATAGGAGCTTCCTCTGGGGTGTTGGATTGGATGGTCTTGATTCCTAATATATAGTTTGTTTCTAATAGATAGTTATACATTTTCAATTGTTTGGATGTGTGTGTGTGTATTTGTACATGGGAGTGTGTATGTGAAAACAGAAGGAATAGGTTTTGCTTTTATAAAATAAAATTTTGTAGGATTGAAAAGAACATTTCAAGGAAAGACTATAGTGTCTCCTTAAGTAAGTGATGGAGGCCTTGCCATTGGTTACATCTTGTCCTTATTCTAATGAGCAGGGGTCAAAAATATCTTCTTCACAGTGGCCTCTTGCCTCCCATCTTGTTCCACCTGACACGTGATTGTGGCTTTCTCCTTGTGGCCAGTTCTGTTGACCAGAATTGAGCTCTGCACACTGTACAGTCCATCTCTGCTCCTGATGGGGGTCAGGGCCACATCTCTCCGGAAGACACTTCCATTCTCCAGCCAAGTCAGCTGCATGCCCGGGGGGTAGAACTTTTCTGCCTTGCAGGTAACATTTATGCTGTTCTCTGAGGCAGGACGTTGAAGAATACCCACAGTGGGTGGAACTGAAATATCATAGGACAAAGGCTCAGACTCTATGAAACCGTCAGATCCATCTTGCTTATAATTTGGTGGCTATTGATTTAGCAC